GTCCAAAACTTCCGCATCAAACTGTCCAAAAACCTCTCAAAGATTTTTGACACAGGATGGAGAATGGATACAGGCCGATAGCTTACTGGTAACCGCACGTCAGATGAAGATTTAGGGATTGGCGTAATAAATGATTGCTTCCAAACAGACGGAAACTTGCTTTCATTTAACGCAGCTTCAAAAATCATTTTCAATGGCAGAGTTATTGACATACCAGCAGTTTTTAACAACTGATTGGTGGTAACAAACTTTCCGCTTGACGTTTTAGTAGATAAATTTACTAACTGTTCTAGTACGAGTAACTCCGGTATTTCCCAAACATTTTCATTTCGACAAATCAAGTCTGTTCCGGAATTATTACAATGCGATCCACACGTGGACTGTGATTCACGATACTGTATATTTATAGCATTCGCCTTTTCGGTGTCAGAGACCGCGGTGCGGCCGTTGAGCAGATTTAGTGGCGGCATGCCACTACGGTCGGACCGTCGGAAGTAGATTTTACATATCGCCAAAATTTTGTTGGGTTATTTCGATGCGATAACGCAACATCCGTTATTTTTAAGAATTCAAATTTTTTTACTGAACGATCGCATTGCTTGGACAGAGATTTCCATTTAATTTTAAGAGAATCTTTTAGTGGCAGCTCTGCTTGACGGTAAATTCTGAACGCTCGATCACGAAGTTTAACTAACTTTTTTATATTAGACGGATACGTGACCTTTCCAGTTCGAATAAAAACGTTACGGTATTCGAAGCAAAGACTTGCTGCTTGAATGAAAACTTGTTCAAAAATTGCTGCTCGACTGTTACTGTCATGATTACAAAATAAAGAAGCCCAATCTGTGCTATTCAAAACATTCAAAAAATTACCAATATTATTTTTATCGATTTTCCACTTTTTTATCGTTTTATTTTTCATTCTGAATTTTTTAGTAATTAGCGTAAACTGAAAACCCACGTGGTCATTCGTGCAGGAGGGCGGAGATATTGCTTCAGCTGCTTCAAATAAACTTTTTCTATCAAGCAAACAAAGGTCAAGGCAGTTGCTCATTCTGGTAGGAAAATCTTTAATCTGCACAAAACCAAACTCATTTACGGCACGTAACAGGTCACGACTGGCGCTAGTGGATCCTGTTCCGCGTTGCCAGTCAATGTCGCGAAAATTGAAATCACCCATCAGCACAGTCTTTGTAAGCATATTCGGAGCAAGCTTATTGCGCAGACGTTCAGTGAGCATAGGAACAGCTTTTTGGCATTTGTCAGGTGGAGCGTAGAGAACAATGAATAACCGGTTCAAAATTTTCGATTCAACAAACAGAGCTTCGACAAGAGGAATTTCTAGATCATTTCGTCGATATCCTTTATAACTTTTACGAATGACAAGTGCTACACCTAGTGCAAACTGGCGATTATCGCTAGTAATAACTGCACCTAATGTGCAGGTATCTTTGCGGACTACTGAAATTTGTTTTCAGTGGTTTTAGACGTTCTGCCCTTATGTAAAGGGAGATGCGTAAACACCAACTCACACCTATTTTATCATTAACCGATTAATAATAAATATGATTGGCTAGTGAGAGTTAAAGGGGAATCGCATCTTTAACTTACAGAGCCGTTCGTAACGGATTTTTGAGTACCCTAAGTACCCTTAATAATGTAGATGTATCGGTCGCGCTTGCGCGCGACCAGTTGTGTTTGAGGTATGGACTAATGAAACAGATTACAAAACTTTAACATAGTTACAGTTAGAAACAAATTTAAAAAATTTTGAAGTAAAACGCTTTAAAAAGCAGTAGAACGAGCTATAGAAGCGTTCTAAATGCAAAATGAGAAAATAATTAAAGCTCTGAGCGTTTAAGTTGGGCAAACTCGATAAAAATAATTGGTGAGAAAAGGAATTAATATGATTATTGTAAATATGCCGGCTTTGATTTTCCAGTACTCGTAGCATTCGCAGAGATCGCCAAGGTGGCTGTAGAGGACACTGTATGTGTGCCGGTCAAGATTTCTCATATTCGCAGCGTTCGCATTGTCCGCCAAGGTTTCAGAAGAAACCACTGTATGTGTGCCGGTTTTAATTTTCCTAAATCCGCAGCGTTCGCAGTTTTCGACATGGTGGCCGCTGAGGTCACTGTATGTATGCCGGTCAAATATCCCATATTCGCAGCATTCTCACAGTTTGCCAATGTGGCTGCTGCGGTCACTACAAATATGCCGGCTTTGATTTTCCATATTCGCAGCGTTCGCACAGTCCGCCAATGCGGCAGTTGAGGTCATTGTAACTATGCTTGATTTGATTTTCCCATATTCGCAGCATTCGTGCAGTTCGCCAAGGCGGTTGTTAAGATCACTGCAAATATGCCGGCTCTGATTTCCCCATATTCCCAACGTTTGCACAGTTTGCAAAGGTGGCAGCTGAGTTCACTAGAACTCTGCAGCTTTGATTTTGCCATGTTAGCAGCGTCCGCACAGTTCGCCAAGGTGGCTGTTGAGGTCACTGTAAATGTGCCGGCTTTGATATTCGATAATTCCAGCGTCTAAGCAGGGCGCAATCCGAGGGAAACCGAGAAACGGCTGAAAAAGGCGCCGATGGGGGAATCGAACCCCGGCTACGTCGTTAGATCCGCGTAGGCAGTACCAACTACCACTGCACCACGGCGCAGTACGTTGAAATCCTTTGAAAGATTTTGTCGCTGTACGAGAGCCGCTTCTCCGCTTACACCCCCTTTGCAGCTTTCGCTACGTCCTCGTAGCGTGATGAAGCGATCCTTCAAGCGGCGGCTCCGGCTCACCGCATCCTCCATTCATTTTATCCTTTTATTCGTTTTTGCTCTGTTCCTCCCGTTCGAGGTTAGCACACCAGTCTCACACCATAGGTCCGTGATCGAACCACGATCTGCTACCATCTAAGCAGGGCGCAATCCGAGGGAAACCGAGAAACGGCTGAAAAAGGCGCCGATGGGGGAATCGAACCCCGGCTACGTCGTTAGATCCGCGTAGGCAGTACCAACTACCACTGCACCACGGCGCAGTACGTTGAAATCCTTTGAAAGATTTTGTCGCTGTACGAGAGCCGCTTCTCCGCTTACACAGCGTTTGCATTATTCGCCAAGGCGGCAGTAGAGGTCAGCGTATGTGTGCAGGTCAGGATTTCCCCATATTCGCAGCATTAGCACAGGTCGCCAAGGTGGCAGTTGAGGTCACTGTATGTATGCCGCTTTTGATTTTCCCATATCCGCAGCATTCGCATTGTTCGCCAAGGGAGGTGTTGGGGTCACTTTAAATAGAACGGCTTTGATTTTCCCATACCCGTAGCATTCGCACAGCTCGGCGAGGTTTCTGTAGTTATCACTGTATGTCTGCTGGTCAAGATTTCACCATATCCGCAGCATTCGCATTGTTCGCCAAGGTGGCAGTAGAAGCCACTGTATGTATGCCGGTGTTGATTTTCTCTGCGGAAACCCATTCAGGCCCATGGACGTAAAATGCGGATTCAGGATGCTTAAATCCAGCCCGCATTCGACTGCTTCCTTTGATTTACATAGCAAACGTCCAAATTCTTTCCACATCACTGCCAATTTTTTGCGGTTTTCAAAATAGCTTTCTTTGGCTTCCCGTACTGCATCTCGCACTGCATCTGGTAAACTGGAGAATTCGGTGTGACGGGCATCATACTAATTGGTGTTCCGTACAGTGTCTGAAGATTCTGACAACGGTCTTGTCAGAAGCAGTTCGCGCATCATGATGCGGCACCTGGTGCTTTGATCGAATTGATCTTACACCGCGCAGCGCCTTTTTTGTTTCATTCAGTATGCCCGCGCGTTGATTTTGTCATTTTTCATTCGAATTGTTTGCGCTTGTGCACAAGGAGAAATATCCTCAAAATTCTGATTTTGCGGTGCGGCATCCCCTTCCGTTTACCTGATTAATGCAGCGGGGTATTTATTCATGACTGATTGTTTCACACTGACAATTATTCAAGGTGTAATAGTACATCAGTGGGAAAGGCCCGAAAGGGCTAATTGGCTTCTTTTGTAAAATTGACTGTGAGCTATCCTACGGTATGACTTTAATCGTTCTACAGGTTAGCCTGTGACACGTCAAATGGTGGATATTACGCGCTAAACTTTACTTTCAGAGTTTAGTAAGTAGCACCGCCATGTGTCTCCATATTCGTGATGTACGACAGTTGAGTTTATGGAGCCTATTACGGTATCAACCGCATATTGATCGGTCAGGATTAACAGTTATGTAAAAGCATATAAATATGTACATGCCGGTTTGAGTACCTAACTACCACCTTCTAATTTTGTTTTCCAATAAGAAGTACCCTGGCAGTCATATAGGAGGCTTTCAAAAACTGTGGTACAAGTAAGTACATTTGACACCGGGCAAAGCCTCGCATTTCTGAGAAACACCTTATGCACTGTACGTGTACAGTGTACACCACGCAGTTTTATGAGGTTATAACAAGAATATTACGGTACGGTACGGAACGGTTTTATGTATCTCTACAGCACTGTCTACACTGTTTATTCACTTCGTCGCAGTTTTTTTTCCGGGCATATGCCGTAGCCAGAGTTAAAACTTTCAGCGCTCACAGTTAAAGTCTCAATTAGACACAGAAAACCTGAGTTTGTTTGTCAAAACCAAATAGGAGTATCTACTATCTAGTAAGTAGTCAAAGCCGAGACTTTGTCGGTAAGAATATCAGTGGTTGGCTGACTTAGGGTCTGAGTTTCATTGGTCAGAGACTCAGAGTCAGAGTTTGAGTGGCCAGAGTCAGAGTTTGAGTAGTCAGCAGAGCTTGAGCGCAGGCCGAAAATGACATACTCGAAAACAAAAGCTTCGGTCACCTTACCAGATCTTGATGCCGTGTGACGCGACATTTCAGTCAATAATGGGGGTGTAAATGCATGCACTACTAATAGTGAACTATTTACTGTAATACCAGAAACCTTGCAAGTGCGAACAATAATTGTATGTTTATTGCGGCTGCGGTTTTTATTACTGCATGTAACATTAATTATACGAGTAGTAGAAAATAAAGCGGAGTGGCCGCTACACGCATCAGCTCCGCTGCGGGCGCGGGTCAGACCATTGCGATATATTAGCCAGCGTTAGGAAGTCTGTGTATAAGAGTTCGGCCGCCAGCGGCCGTAACACAGGATCACGTTTTTGACAATAAGCGACAAACGCCCGCAATTCATCCGGCAGTTCCTGTGGTATTTCTGGCGATCCACCACTGCCGATGTAATACATGACTTCTAAATCGCTCTTCAAGTAGTGCTGGTGTCCCTTTACTTCTTTGACGAAGCGCAGGGATCCGCTGGCCATCTCCAGCACCACGCAGCCGAAACTCCAAATGTCGCTCTTGCGACCGGTATCCCCTCCCTGGATCTTCTCCGGCGACCTGAAGGCATAACGGCATTCGTCCGTGTCTTTCGGTGCAGACCAGTCCCTTTGGGGACGTTCTGTGGTGTCCAGGTGGGCAATCTTCATTCGGCAGTTATTCCAGTCCGGACTGCTTAGCAGAATATGGCTGCTTGATATCTCGCCGTGCACGATGTTTTGAGCGTGTAGATAAAGTAAGCCGTCGACAATCTGTCGTGTCCATGTCTGGATGAGTGACGCGGCAATGTGGAACGCAGCCGCCGCGTGCAGATTGCCGCCTAAGAAAACAGTTACCGTTAGCTGAGCTGAGCAATTAAATCCAATAATTCCAGTAATTATTTTTATTTTCGAATGTAATAACCGTATAATTACAGTATCAGTAAATTTTGTTGAAAGTGAGCGAAAGCGGCCAGGTATATGCTCGCTAGATTGCACTAAATTCGCATACATCCACTAGAAGTTTCGCTTTTGCGTCCTTCCGAACTCGCCTCCGGATTGCTTTTAATATTGTGCAGCCAAATAATTTAAAATTCGTTTTCGAGTCCAACATCCGGCTGCGGAGTTACGGGTGACGAAATTCCAGAGCGTTCAGGTGTAAGTATCAAGTCCCATTAAAAATCGGTTTCGTTTGAATTTCTCACGTAAACGCACATTACCATGAATATCATTCTCACATTGAACCATACCCTCCTCAATTTTTTAAAAATTTGAAACGTTATGAATTCTGAAATTCGATTTAAAAGTGGGAAAACTGTATTATTGTAAAACAGTGGAGTAGCGTGAAAACGATCTTCATCGTTCGGTGCATTAACGTGCAAAATTTGAAGCAGATTGGTCACATTGAGATTTTTTGTACTTACACCTGAATGCATTACAACATTGACACCTTTTGGAATTTCGTTATCCTCATAGCTTCGCAACCGGATCATGCGCGTGAAAAAAGAATTCTATTTATGCAAAACATGTGACTGCAGAATGTTGCGAACCATCCCAAAAAATGTCTGGATATGCGCGAAAACGAAGGATCTCGTGAACTGAAACAGAATTTCTGATATGCATCGGCCTACCGGGTCACATTCCTTAAGTGAAGCGGGAAAGAAGCATCCCGTTTCGGGATAACATGGCTGCCTTAATGTTAGCCATAACTCTCAGAGTTGGCCTAACTGCTTTATTACACTGGAAATCGTTATACGTAAATAACGGTTATCGCGAAAGCATACTTTAAAACCAAAGCCGACCCCAAAATTCGGAAAGCACGCGGCAAAGAAACAGTGCTGAATCGCAGACTGACCGGAACAATACTCCATAATGGTTATGAAGTGCGGCACTTCCATCGGACTAACTTCCAGAGTAATGTATTGCGCCGGATGTCGCACCAGATTCGGATGATCAAAAGTAAGAAAATGCTGTAAATCCGCGTCCATCGAAGCGGCCAGTGCGCGAGTTTTTCCCTGTCATAATCTAGATAGATTTTCTTCGAAGCGATCTCAATGTGGGTCGAACACTATCTGTGCGGTGGGCCAGATGGATTCCGGTTTCTCGGTTATCGTTAAGCTGCTTTAATAACTGATACGAATTTGCGGACATGATGCAGCTGTTTCGCTGGCCAACAGCTTGTTTCAACTTCAGGCAACCCAAGACCGATTGTATGCGAGAGTGTTAGCGGCGCAGCGTGGGTGTTAAAGTGCTTAGTGCACAGAGCAGGCGGCTAGGTAGATCACGATTATTCTGATGCTAATCACACATCACTTCCGGACCGTTCCGGTATTAAGCCGATTACATCGATGCTATGTCGCTATTACATCATCATCATGATATCTGCATCATAACCGACTCAGGGCGATTGGAAACAATATTACTTGCCTGAAAAGGGACTTAGTATAAGGCCGAACAGTCGTTCGAATTTTTTCGTTCTTAGTTGATGCCGAGAACACAGATTTCGACTTTTTGCCGGAAATGAGTCCCGCAAAACTTTTCCAGTTCCACAAATTTAGCAATTTGCAGTTCAATACCAAATGTCCATCTTGCTTGCCGCTGTTAAGTTTCGGTTAACGCCCATCCGCTCTTGTTTTTATCATTAACCCATTCTTGGTTTTAAATTTTTCAAAATATTAAAAAGCGCAGTATTTCCTAGAGACTGTATATCTGCAGGACGAAGGAAAAATGAAACCGCACAAAAGACAGTCAGTCACAAACAATCCAAATTCAGAAAAATTTCGTTTTTTGTAAAATGGTAGTATACTATCGTAGTATGCTTAAAAAATATTTTTGACGTAGTATGCTGGAAAGTTTAAAAAGTTAAAAAATTAAAAGTTTATGCATAATGTCACATACTGTGTAATGCGGTGCAGTACTAGATATTCGTAATAAATTTATTCGTATTCATAATCGTAATTTTTATATTAAATTAATACTGCAGCACTGTGGACATTAGCAGCTGTCGCGTGGTGATGTAAAGGAAGCCCACGCGCGGCGGCTCTTACCATTGTTGCTTATGCACATAGCTACGCTTAGTCGAAAACTTTTCGAGAAAGAGTCGATTAGTGTTTTATCATTTATGTAACAAACTTTGCAAAAGATTGCTTTACCAACTAGCGGTGGTTTTTAATGCTATTTAACGCTTAAGGCGTTAAATACCGTTAACGCCGGGCGAGTTTGTTTGTCCCTGGCAACATAGTCACGTCATCCAGTAATGACGTGAACAAATTATTAGAAGGAACTCAGTTGTGTTCGATCCAGTTTTAACTATTAGTTTCCCAATTTTCGCTAAAAAATGGCTCCGAAACCTCGGTCGGACGCGCCCGTTGCACCCAGAAAACGCAGACGGGGGATTGCTAAGAAGTCAGAGCAACAATCAACAGATTCCATCGATTTAGTTGCCCTTCAGCATACAGTTTCTCAACTGCAAACGCAACTGGCTGCTTTAGCAGTCCAGCAACCCCAACCGCCCGCCCCAACTGGTTCTCCACCTTCAGTTACCACTCCACCGCTGATTGACCTTTCCGTTTCGGAGCCTATTATGTCACTTAAACCACCGTCTAACTTGTGTTTACCCACACTTGATAATCCTACATTAAAGTTACTGTCCGATCGGCATGGCTTCGTCAATTTGCATAAACTTCTACCGATTAACAGAGGAGTCGAATCAGTTTCCGATCAGCCCTCGTATGTGTCTGATAACGACGGCAAATTAATTCCCACTGCTGCTGTGTCTAACCGCCGGAAGATCGACTCCTTTAACTCATGGCTGGATGCCTTTTTACTTTTTGCTCGTTACCGCGTTTATTTTCATCCCGGTCTGGCTCTGGCGCTGTTTGCATACATCGACATTATCCGTGGTTTATCACTATCTCGTCCTCTGTTAATCTGGCTGGAATATGATCGAAGGTTTCGTGATAAGATGAGTAACCGTGACATTTCTGACTACGCGTGGTTCATCGAAGATTCTTCTGTTATTGCCGAGGTCATGCGCACTATCCCATTGAACTCCACGGGTCCTCCTTTACAAAAAGATATCCGATCGCCACCGCCGTCGGTTTCAGCGAAGCCACCATATGGCTGCTATCTGTGCCGTAGCCCTGATCACCACGCGAACTGGTGCCCCAGCGTCGTAACCCGTCTGAAGCATCTACTTCCGCTCAGCGTCCCGCTCCCGTTCCCATCACCCAGCCACGTGACCAGAGCGCTACACAACGTGTGAATCAGCCCTTTCGTCCACCCCGCGTTGCAGTCTGCCGGGACTACAACGCGGGACGATGCTCAACCCGTGCCCCGGTCGTCGTCTGCACATCTGCGACGAATGCTTCGACGCTTCCCATACCCGACCTTTCCACTCATCTTCAACCTCGTCTACCAACTAATCCGTTCACTCCTCTTCGGCCCTACAAATTTCTTCGTTACCTACGTGAGTACCCGAATCGTGGCGCTGTGTATCACTTTATTGCAGGTTTGCTGAATGGGTTTTCTATTGTCTACACCGGTCCAACTTTAGTTCGGTCTACTGCCAATGCGCTCACTGCTCGACAGTATCCAGATATAGTGCGTCGTTACATTGCCAAAGAGATTGAACTGAAGCACACGTTGGGGCCGTTCGCATCCCCGCCTTTTAAATTCTTCGTCAGTTCGTCTCTAGGAGTCAGACCGAAGAAAACTGGAGGAGCACGCTTGATTATGGACCTCTCCCGGCCTTTCGGTAGCTCCGTAAATGATTATATTTGCAAGAAAACGTACACCATGCGATTCTGTTCTGTCGATGACGCAATCCGTATTATTATCAAGCTAGGTGCCGGCGCCATTATGGCCAAAATGGACTTGAAGCACGCCTTCCGCCTCATACCTGTCAGGCCGGAAGATTGGCACCTTCTCGGGTATTGTTTCGATGACCGTTTTATTTTGATGTGGTATTACCTTTTGGTTGCCGCTCTTCGCCCGCCATTTTCGATAGAATGGCATGTTTTTTGGAATGAATAATTCGAAACGTGTGTCATTTTCGGGATGTTCTGCACTATATGGATGATTTCTTCTTCGCCGGTCCATTCGGTTCTATTCTTTGCCAGTTAGCTATTGAGCTTATGACGCTGCTGTGTTTAGATCTAGGAATTCCGTTAGCGCCTGATAAGACGGAAGGACCCTCAACAAAATTGACCTTTCTCGGTGTCGTCCTGGACTCCGTTGATCAAACCATCTCGCTCCCACCCGGAAAACTTCAAGATTTAATCGATGAGTTCACGGTGTTCTCCACCAGACAGTCAGCTTCTAAGCGTGACCTTCTCAGTCTAATCGGCAAGCTCAGTTTTGCTACGAAATGCATTCCAGCCGGTCGGATTTTCTTACGACGGATGATCGATTGTGCCAATTCAGTCCGCCTCTTACATCAGTCGGTTCATTTAAATTCTGAATTTCGAGCTGATTTGGAGTGGTGGATTAAATTTTTGCCACTGTGGAACGGTACTGCTTCTTTTATCGAGCCAGACTGGACAAACGCAGACAATTTTAGCTTGTATACGGATGCGTCTCACACTGGGTGCGGCGGATGTTTCGGTAACAGATGGTTCCAGTTAACTTGGCCTCCTGACCTTATGATTCTGCATCCGCATATCACCTGGTTGGAGATGCTGCCAATTCTTTATGCGTGTAGATTATGGGGCACACACTGGCACAGCAAGCGGTTGACGTTCTTCTGTGACAACCAGGCTGTAGCGGCAGTTTGGAGCAAGTTCTCTTCCAAGCATCCCGGGGTCATGGCATTAATTAGAGCATTACATTTTGAGGCAGCGCGATATAATTTTCATCTACGTATTGTCTATTTACCGGGGAAGAGCAATGCTACAGCAGATGCGTTGTCCCGTGGCAATATCGAGCGGTTTTTCGAACTTCTACCGTCTGCAAATCGGCTTTGAGAGGAATTTCCGTTCAATATGGCAATATGGTTGAATTCTTTGACGTTCTTGCCGCTCCTCGCAAGTGCCGTAATCGCCGGACAAAGTATCGTTTTCATTCTTATGTTATCTAGTTGTTCACTGTTATTAACGATGTGCTTTATTGCAGAAAACGCTCGTGTACTTAATACTCACAATACGCCATTTCGTCCAGTTATCCAAACTTTGTTGCAAGCGCATCTATCATCCGCCAGTCAGAAAGTGTATCGGGTTGCACTGCGCACATTTAATTCTTTTTGTAACCGTAATGGTTTTCCTTTTGTGCCCACGGATTCTGCAACCATCTTTAATTTTGTTGCCCAGCTGTTTTTGGATAAACTAACCGTAGCCACTGCGCGAGTATATGTTTCGGCCAATATAACCTATAGCACTTTAAGCGGCTATCCGGACCCTGTTCCGGATAAACGCCGCCTGGCGCTACTTGATTCTGGATGGTCCAGAATCCGTGGGTCACCTCGCGTTAAGCGTGCTGGACTGACAGTGACAAATCTGCGTTATTTGTTTCGCTATATACAGTCACTTCCGTATTGCATGTTCGATCGCATCATGTTGCAAGCTGCCACGATGATGGCGTTTTATGGATTTATGCGTGTATCTGAATATTGTGCTAATACTCAATCCCGTTCAACTCCCCACTGTCTTCGTGGTTCTGATATTTTCTGTGATTCTTATTGTCTCCAAATCACTTTGCGAAGAAGCAAAACATCTCAGCATGCACCTGTTGTGATATCAATTCCTTCCCTGACTGACATCACTTGCCCTGTTACTGCTGTGTCTCGTTTTCGAGAGCTTCGGGATTCCTGTTTTGATTCTTCATCTCCATTCTTTTGTTTTTCAGACGGGAAATATCTAACTCGTCAACGTGTATCCATTCTGCTTCAAAGTTGCTTCGGTCACACAATGTCAACCCATTCGTTTCGCATTGGTGCAGCTTCAACTGCTGCCAACGCCGGCATCACATTAACGGATGTTCAAAAGATGGGGCGTTGGACTAGTGATGTGGTTAATAGATACATTCAGCAGTCTTCTGTATCAAATTCTCATCTGTATACTCGTTTATTATCATGAAATCTTATTACAGCTCTCCCGTGTTCGGTTGTGTTTTGTCGTTTCCGGTTGGGCCGCGGCTTCGCTTTGGGGGTGTTCGGCGCGGCTTGTCTCAACGGAAGTCGGCGACCAGCGGCGCCGTTCAGTTGCGACCGTTCGGACATCGTCGGCTTTCGAGCACTTGCCCCGACATCCTCAAAGCGGCAACTGATTGAACGAGCCCGAAAGCGTTAAACCACATTAATGCACGAGCGTGAGCGTCACTACAACTGGGTAATGGTACTGGATTTGTGGAATGTGGAAGAGTGTTACGTGACGCTCTTCGTGGCGTCAGACAAATTTTATGCTCTTGACGATCAGTTAACAGCAGCACCTCGCGCTTTGCGCTCGGTACAAATAAGCAAATAGCAAATACCTAGGTACTCGTACTATATTTCATAACAAATTTTCAAAAATGTGCACTCAGGCACCAGCAATGGCACGAGCCGCCACACGTGGGCTTCGTTCACATCCCCACTGATCAGCTGCAATGTCCGTGGTACTACATTAAAAAGTTACGAATAACATGTACTCATTGCATTGCATAGTATGTGATAATCTGCAAACTTTGAATTGTTGTCAGGCTACGCACCCTTGACCATGGCAGATGAAATATTTTTTAAGCATACTATGACAGTATACTGTCATTTTAGAAAAAATAAGACTTTTCTGAATTTGGAGATAACTTGTGTGCCCTGGTAAGATTGCTAGAGAAAAGGGTAACCGAATCGGAAGCCATTATGACTTACCGGTACAATATTCCATAAGGATCATGTAATGCGGTACGTCCACATGGTTGATCTTCCGAGGACCGTAATACGCCAGATGACGCACCAGATTCGGATGCTCTAAAGTAAGAATTTTTCGTAGGCGGACATCCAACGCTTCGGCCTGCGCTTGGGCTATGTCCTTGTAGAGATCCAAATGAACCTTCTTCGCCACGATCTCCACAGGATGAACGCCATTGGTACGGTGAGCCAAGTAGGTTCGGCTTTGCGTTCCTGAGAAATCTATTAATTCTACAATCTGAAATGCGAAGCGCGGACTCGGTTTAGCAGCATCATGCGCCATTGTGTCAGCAGTCTGAGATAATACTGGAAACGCGAATAATATGCTAATGGGCTCTGTAACTCACCAGCTCGTCAAAGAGCTAACGTAATTAAAACTCACCCAGTCACTGTAGCAGTCGAAAACCGCGATTAGATTGATTACATCAACCTGAGCTCAGCATTAACCACTTTTATCAAAAGTAAACACTTTAGTTGACCATACTGAATATACGCGATTACAGTATAAGTGATAAATTACACAAAACTTAACTAGTACAAACTCTCGGCGAAGGAAAACGCAAAGCACACGGCGGTTTACACAGCACACAGAGCTGCGACCGCATTCTGCTTAGTTAATGCTCTCACCGAAAGAAAAGTGTAACATTTACACGTTAAAACACCACTGCGCGCTGTAGCACTACTATAGCATATAAGTATAATCTATGAAAGCGGCACAGAGTCTTCCAAGTGTTTCTTCCTATTTTTTGTTGGACACTTTACTCGTACTGCGGATGCACTGGTCGATAAGCAACGCGATAACGCAAATGCTGTTAATGGCTCGAGTCCTTTCGGTATTCTGCTAATCATTGGCTCCGGTACAAAAGGCAAACTGCAGTCGTTGGCAGTATTCCATCGGTACGGCGTGCTTACCGATGAAATACGCCGACGGTAATTATTACGAAACAAATCCCATTATGATGCCACCGGCGAAGCCGTGGATTGTTAGAAGTTGCGGGTGGGTGGAAACAGTTTATGCTCGTTGGACCACCCAAACATTGTGCGATATTGACAGCATTGCCACCCCGCAGAAAGTTCTCCAATTGATGGTCCCGGTTGCCACATTATCATAAAATACAGTGGATGTGTGGAGAGTTACTGAAAAATTTGGGTTGCTGGTCGATTCTAAAGGCCGCTAAACAAGCTAACAAAATAACGAGAAAAAAAAAACAATGACAAAAGAACACACATGCCATGAATTCAACACTACTGCAGCTAAATTTCAGCGCGGAACTTCGCAAATGCAACCAACTCATCTTTTTTATATTCAGATTATCTGCAAACCGTGCTGTGAACTGCGGATGACGACGCTTAATGCATGCCGCACGCAGACAATATTTTCTTGGCTTCCCACGGTCAGTTAGTGCTTGCCGATTGCGGCACTGATATACTCAAACTTTTCGCGGAGCACAATGATGTCCAGTGGCGGTGGATCGTCCACAAAATCTTTTTCCACAGCCGGGACAGTTCGAATTAGGATGGATCTTTTGTAATGCGGAAACGGCTGCTTCCATTCTGCCACTGATTAGGACGCTTTATCTCCTTGCAACAGGTACACGGTTCTAAACAAACAACCGTACAAAATATATAGAATTATGCTTTTTACGGATTTTCGAAAAACAGTTCTAGCGTACAATACCTAGAGATTTCTCCCGTTCAAGTTCTTGTTCGAGTCGATACAGTTCATTCGAATTGTGGGTGCTATAAAATTCCAATTAAAAGTTTTTTATGTGACCGATGTTCTTTCTTATTGAATCCCCTAAAACTCAGAATCTGTTTCAGCCCTGCTCTGGTGCTCTTTACATAGGCATTTGCAACTGAATTATTTCGAAAAATACATTTTTGATTATTAAATGAGAATTAAGTTATTACCACGACTTCTTCTTCAGGCTCGACCTTGAAATTCTTTCGACAGGAAGCAATTGCGCCCTATTTAGACAAACGCGCAAGCACTAAATTACTGCGTAATTTATTGAGTAGTGGCACACTTTATATAATAATTAGACATGCTACAACAACTGCAGTTAGTGTAGCAGGAAAGCAGTGCGTGCTCACGAAATATCTGCCTTTTACTTTTTTTTTTAAATAGGCCAAAATTCCAGGACGGATCTGGATAACTCGGAAGATATGTCTGCAATTTTAGCACCGACTTCCTTTTTGGATGCGCTATCGATAATGCCCTTTTCTTCTTCGCCGACGTCAGTAAATTTGCCTCCGAAACAGATTACAAATACCATGTTGACAAATTATTCGTCCGTATTTAGCTTCTGCTTCGTGTGATGTTTGAAAATGTCTTTAAGGTGTAAGAAACAGATCAAAAGCTTTGCTTTCGGAAGTAGCGTTAAAATTGCTTTGCGCAGCGCTATTTCACCATCAGCCACAATTGGTGGAGACAATTTCGTAAATATTATTACTGTCACCACAGTCACGCTGATGCCTTTCCAAGATGGTATACAATGCGGCTTGCATTTCAGCCGCCAAGAGGCCAGTAAACTGCCGTTTCGACGATAAGAACTGCATTTCTAAAACCACGCGGTATTGCTGATTCTCAAATATTGGTGGAAACAGCAACGGTTTCTTTTCTTCGCAAGTAAGGGTGCTGAATGGCCAGTGTCATCACCTAATACTGTGATCTTGTGCACGATATCAATGGACAGACTACTGAAAACATTGTGCTGTAACAGGCAAACGCAGGGAGCTCACGGGATGTCTTTATTGACAAGTCAAGGCTGATTCTGAACAATGCTGCGTAATAGCAGGAAGAAAGAACAAAGCCATTATGGCCAAATCTAGAAACGTGTTGCTAGAGTGTTCTTGGGCGTCTCTTCAAGGCGTGAAAAAATGCTGGCGGCAAACATGTGCGTGATGCAGGCCATACGTATCAGCTGTGTGATGCTGAGCGCCAACTGGATTGTATCCGACGCGAGCGATAAGCGCTGAGTCATACGGCGAGAGAGGGAGGAAAGAGCAAGTGTGCTCAGTGTGTGCGCACGCGGTATATCAGTTTCAGCGGATGAGCGCAGTGCAGCAGCACACTTACGTACAAGAGAGAGGCGAATACGGCATGTAAGTGAGTGCAAGTACGCCACACGTGGGCGCAGCCCCACGCACAGGCTCGTACCCAAGATAGTGCCCAGTAAGTCCTAATCTGAAATCGGTTTTTTCTCAACAGCAACGGTCGTTTTCCCAATATTACTCGGACTACAAGGAAATAAGCTGCAGTGTGCACTCTGCATTCAGCAACATCTATATCACATAATTATATACATCCGCCCAATACCGACCGGGCGGACGGCACGGCCGTCACTGACTTCCGCCCAGTGCCGGGTGGGTGGCGTGGCCATCAGTGACTTCGGCCCAGTGCCAGGTGGATGGTGCGGCCATTAGTGACTTCCGCCCAGTGCCTGACGAGTAGCGCGGCTGTCACTGACTTTGGCCCATTGCTGGGCGGAGGTTAGTGACGGCCGCGTTGGTACCTTACCAGACAAAAGATTAATGGTACCTCAACGCGTCGGGATCCCACCAGACAGCAAATAAAGAACTACGACAGTACGATAAGTTACCTGAAAGGGCAAATTACTTCACCAGCATTGATTGTGATTGCGTGCAGACAATTGGCATCATATTCTTCTTCTCGTTCTCCGAATGATAATTGTCCTGCAGTGAAAGTATACATGCTCTTCCTGACGCAGTTTGCCTATCAGGTCCGCCATTTCAAATTTATTTTATGCAGTCTTCACCAGCTTTACTTGTAATTTATCCCTTGGAAAAGACAGCCACAGCCGCTTGCCACAGCCTTCTTGACAATGTCCATGATTTTGTTATTCCGGAAAAAGTTATTTTCGGAAAGTTTTGTAGAAATTACTCGACGTGTAGTTTTATTTGTGCTATTAAATGGTGCGGAAAATTTTGAATTACCGTGAGGCGATACTGGAAATACCTTTGGCGTTGCGTTAGGATCCCACCAGTAGTCTAGTACTGCCAAACGTTTGGTGTCGTTGACACGTGTGAATTTATGTAATGTCCTACAAGTACACTGACTATAGTTCACTATTATAGAATATGTTTTAGAATAGGTGACTGCGACTTCTCTTTGAGTTTTGACTAATCTGGCGCAAAAGTAAACTGGGAAAATTTTGTACCCGAGTTTAAGCAATTTGTTAACCATGTTAAGCGTTTGGAGTTGAAAATCGTAGAGCTGACTGTCGAAAATCAGGCCATGAAGAACCAACTGAAAGTCGCCCCGTTAACAGCGTCTACGAGTACAGTCCCAACAGCTGAGCCGCCTATGGATAATCTTATGTCATCTCATGATATCGCTGAACTAACGAACGGAGTGCAAAAACTATGCGATTGAGTTTACGTGTTTGAATGTGACCTCGCTACTGGTGGTTAAATCCCTCTGCGTGAATATGGTTTTGAGGATCTGAGACTGGATCCTGAAGTATGCAAATTTCTGATATATTGTGGACGATATGGAAGCCGTTGTTGAGAAAAGGAAGGTAATGGGAGAAAATGGCACATTGTGGTAACCTCTGCCAGTAATGCTGGAGCCCTACCCAGTAATCCGCCTGCGCCCTGTCCACGGACTCTGCTTTCGTACGCAGGCGTTGCTGCTGCAAGCCGGCCGCCAAAATCTGTTCGCGGAAGCCAAAACTGCAATGGTTTAAATGAGGAACCTCGCAACGAACTGAGCAAGACCTTGCAATGTAAACAGAAACCCCACTCCGAATTTTGCGTAAGAGGCGTTCCTCGCCTTGAGAATTCGAATTTCGGTAGTGTGAAGGCGTACCACGATTTCATCGCCAGTTAACTCAACAGTGAAGGTGTCGGTTTTCTGTTAGCGATTTGCATCGTTTTCAGAAGGTTGTGTACATTCCGGATTTAATCCAGTTAAATAATGGTTGCATTGTGAGCGGTACCGAAAGTCTGTGTAATCTGCTGAGACGTCTGGCATTAAAAGGCAGATTGTACGAAATGAGCCTGTTTGGGAAACGAAATTGTTTGGGAAACCTGACAGCATTATTGGTCGCATTTTTTCTTGGTGTGTGGATCATAGTATTTAGGACAATTTTGTGCATCGATTGTAGACCACCCTTGATTTTCCGTACTTAACCGAAGCTTTCTTCATGCATTTGTGTGCAAAAAACGTTGAAAAAGGTTGTTCGTTTGATAACTGCATTGGCTATATGGATGGAACTTTGATTGAGGTTTGCCGCCCCTCAAGACGGGACGAAATTCAACGAAAATTTGATTTCTATAAAAATTACCACGCTGTGAAGTATCAATCTCTTGTGGCACCC